CGGGGGATGGAATCCCAGGACGGGGGACGAGTGTCCGAGGCCGAGGACTGGGGGGGACGGGGGGGACCCAGGGCGGACCAGGCTGCCCACTGGGCTTTGGGCAGGCCCCAGAGGTGGAATGCCCGGTGCTCTTCTGTTTTTTTCTGTGAAACGGACGCTCTTGTAAGAGCTGCCATTTTTTCACTTAATTGCTCCTCGTTCTTCTGCACGATTCATGCATATCGCTTAATCCTCATTAACTTGATAATGTAGTTGCATGACTATATCCTCCAGAATGCAGTATTGTCATGTTGGTTGCTGTACGAAGTATCTTTTTTTTCTTTTGAGTCGGGAGTCTCACTGCGTTGCCCAGGCTGGAGTGCAGTGGCACGCTCACAGCCACCTCAGCCTCGATCTGCTGGTCTTAGACGATCCTTCTGCCTCAGGCTTACAAGTAGCTGGAACCACAGGCCGGCGCCACCATGCCTGGCTAATTTTTTTTATTTATTCTAGAGACGAGGTCTCACCAAGTTGCCCAGTCTGGTCTCGAACCTGTGGGCTCAGGTAATCTTCTCACCTCTGCCTCCCAAAGTGCTGGGATTACAGGCACAAGCCCAGCTGCAAAAGACCTTTTTTCTTTTCTTTTCTTTTCTTTTGTTTTTTTGTTTTTTTGAGTCAGGGTCTCACTCTGTCACCCAAGCTGGAGTGCAGTGGCATGATCATGGCTCACTGCAGCCTCCAACTCCTGGACTCAAGCGATCCTCCTGCCTCAGCCTCCTGAATACCTGGGACTGTGAGCATGCCACCACACCCAGCTAATTTTTAAATTTTTTTGTAGAGACAGGGTCTCACTGTGTTGCCCAGGCTGGTCTAGAACTGGCATCAAGTGATCCTCTCATCTTGCCGCCCAAAGTGCTGAGATTACAAGCCTGAGCTACTGGTGCTGGCCCAAAATATCTTTCTGATGAGAATGAAATTAAATTAGAAAGCAGTAGCAGAAGAAAAACTGGAAAATTCACAGATATGTGGGAATTAAACACTGCACTCTTGACCAGGTGCAGTGGTTCACGCCTGTTATCCCAGCACTTTGGAAAGTGGAGGTGAGAGGATTGCCTGAGTGGAGGGGTTCGAGACCAACCCAGGCAACTTGGCGAGACCTCATCTCTACAATCAATCAAAAAATTAGTCAGGCATGGGGGCGCATGGTTGTAGTTCCAGCTACTAGGTAGGCTGAACTGGAAGGATTGCTTGAGCCCAGCAGGTCCAGGCTGCGATGGCTGTGAGCATGCCACTGTACTCTAGCCTGAATTGCAGAGTGAGACTCCGACTCAAAAAAATGAAAAATAAAAATAATAAACACTGCATTTATTT